GCTTTTCCGATTATGATTTCTATTCAAGTGCACTCGGTTAAGTAGTCACTGGCTGTTGTCACTCTCAAAATCAATTGGTTAGCTTGGAAATCGAATTGTAATTCGCATGACGGGCGATTTCAATTTTTATCCGCTGTTTTTTCTTTTTTTTTGAATAAATGATTTTGAGAAAATATCTTTAGAGTCGATGGAAGGAAAAATTTTCCAATATTCTTGATGGTTACACGCGTTTGTAGCGAAATGTGGAAAACAAAAATTGAATGACCCATTGACCTGTCGTAAATATTTGATGCCGTTTGCAAATGGTTACGATTGAGAAGCATTTATATTCCTCCGCATAAAAGAAAGTATCGCACTCCCATATTTTTCCTGTATCTCAGTTATTATATTTCGAAAATAACAATAATACAGAGATACGATAATGTATTTTTAGGTCGATGTAATAAAAATTTATAGCTCAAGAGAGATGATAGTGAAGCAGAGACAATTAAATTGTTTCATCGGGTGATAAACCATTGAATAAACCTGAAGCATTTTCAATACGTGTTCACCCAGCGTTTTAGAATATTCAATTGATAATAATAATAATTCCCCGACCGCATATAAATAACTAGTCGAGATAATTTGCAACCGGTGAATAATAGATTTAGCATGTTGACGAAAAATTGAAAAGCTGATTGCACTCGTTATGCCAGTGAAACATAAACACTACATTTTAATGATTGATGATTGTAGCAATTTTACCAATTAGTGGATATGTACCAATACGGAATTAAATGGAACATGGAACTGTGGGCGCGATAAATAATTTGAAACGGTTGCATTTAAATCAGTATTACGATAAAACCAGGGGGAACAATTACGGTTACCATGAATTTATAAGAGCTATTTTTGGGTGGGGAGGAGGGGGAGGGCGGAGAAATGAAAATGCCGATTTAAATTTTCAACACTCGATTGGAGCCACTTAAATCGGGGGCTGAGGGTGATAACAGTTGGATAACCAATCACGGTGATTTATACGTACACTCTTTATTATTTTTCCAGGGATAAATTGTCGGTTTATTTTTCACCGTTCCAACAAGTGACACATTTGGTAATTGATAATTCACAACATTCAGCTCCACCGCAATTATTTCGAGTATCGAATACACCAGAAGACCTCTCCACGTAAACATGAATGGAAAATGCAAATTAAACGACTCGGAGGGAATTAAACAAATAAGAAGCGGTGATTGGTGAACAATCATTCAAACTCGTTGACACGTAATACAGTCGATAATTGAAGTCTCACGTTCTATTTGTCTCATGAAATTTGGCTTATCGTGATGCTGCATCGTGCGCTGAATTCTATTCACTGTGGGAAAATGGCACAGCTGCGAGCTGACTGTTCAAGTAAGAAGAGAAACTAATGGAGATCCTCAAACTTGGTTTCATTTCTGACATAGATTATTAGAAACTAAGAGAACAGCAAACAGTAGAGAGCAGCCCATCTGCCTAACTTTGATATGAGACTAAATTAAACTCTGTGGATGAGTTGTTGAAGGATCAACATGTTCGAGCGTCTTGTTTTCGATGAAAATAATGAAAGTTGTTTATAAAAATTTTAGTTTACTCGAATGGACTGACATTTGCAGTGCAGAGGAGAATATTTAATAGAGTTTTCAGAGAACTTGACGCTATTTGCGTCATCGTCGTGGGTGCTGTGTGATAGTTTCAGGAAATAGATACCACCGCTGACAATGCGGACCATCAACAGAGGTTCCCCGGTACTTGTCAAAGATTCTGTCAATACCAACTGTCATCTTCCATCCACAACGAAACCCTTCAATCACTAAAGTTGGTGCCACATCATTGCGCGTTATATATCAATGCAGTTACGATCCTCAACCGCAAATGTCATCAAGTTTCAACAATTTCCTGGACTTTACCTCTGCATCACTATTTCCGTCATATCTGGGCCGATGAACAATGAGACATCGCTCGTCAAGCGAAACCGGGTTATCACAGCTCAGAGTGATAAAAACAAAGGGACGGCGGGAAAAGAAGGATTACAAAAAAGAAAATGGCGAGAGCTGGAGTCTTCAGTGCGTTCAGAATGGGTGTGAAAAAAAGGTGGATCGATGCTCGTTTTACTCGTGCCTCGATGAATTTCTCGAATTAATTGGACGGCCGTTCTCGATGCCATCGCCATCGACGATAATTGCAGAGTGACGAACGACGAGTGCCGCAACTATTCGAAATACGGAGCACGTAGGACCCCCCGTTGTTGATGGGGGGCAATGGGGGGTTCTCGTTAATAACAGTCACTCGAACGAGCCCAGCTCTCGCGGTTATACTCTGGGTCACAATCCTGGGGCCAAGAGTGCATTTCCGGGTGAAGGGAAAACAATTGTCGCTACCAGCTCCACCATCTTTTTCGTGTACTTATTTTTCCGGGGGGAGGGGAAAACCATAAAATTATTTGTCTGCACATATCGATTAGCAAATAAATTGAATATGGGGTATATTCAATTTATCTACTGTTCGTGTTCCCTCGAACACCCACTTTTAACTTGAGATCACTCACTCCTCCAACAGGAAAAAATATTCCACCCGTAGAAAAAAATTTCTCTTATAAATTTCTGTGATTCGTCGAAACCCTTTAATTGCACTCAAGATAATTTAAAATGATCCTTCACCTCAGTACTAGCAGAATGTCACTCAGAAATTCCATTTCTCACCTCAATTGAACCTCATAAAATACTCACAAGTTGAAGTTAAAATGTGACTTACCTCCAGGCTACAGCGTGGATGTACATAAAAAAGTTTTAAGTGGAAAGAAAATACTTTCATTAAAGACTCCCAAGCACGGATTCACCCCAATTCCCCCATCGCTGCACACCTGTCTATGTGTTTCGAATTCCCCGAGTTGATGATGATTTTTCCACGTTATTGAAAAATCATTAAATATAAAAAGTTGAACCCATGGAAAATCTCATCTGCTAGCATCACGAGGGTTACGGAGGCGGCAAAGAGTAAAAATAAATAAATAAAATGCTGAAAACTCCGCAAGCTGGTAACATCGGCGAAGCTTCTAAAAGTATTGGCATAATTTCAGAAAAGTTTTTCTCCAAAGTTGCACATACCCAAGTGCACACGTAAATAAATATCGATCCCCTACCAATAACCGGATTGTCATTGTCCCCAGAAGTCTCACTGAATTTTTACCTCCCAAAGCTGAGATTTCTGGTGGATGCGTGACATGGCCTCGAGCCAAACACTGCGAATCCGCGTTAAAATCCATCGACAGAATACACTACACTCACACCAATGCCACTGTACTCCACATGGAGAATTTCCCCCCTCGTGTTTCCGGTTTTGTTGCTATTTTTTCATCATCATCAATTCTTTTTTACTATTCCTGCATTTTTTCCTTTATGCTCCGTGTTTACGGCGTTCATATCTTCGCGCGCTCATGTCCGTTGAAATATAAAGGAAATGCTGGGATTGGCGGAACAAACTCACATTGCGATTGTCCGATATACACAAAAGTTTGATTCCTATACGAGAATAAATCGTTTATGGAATTGAATGTATAATGGAATGGCTTTGCGCAATCAATAAAAAAAAAACCTCCACTCGAAATACACCCAGACACTATAATCAAATAATTTTTAATTCATCACGGTAATTAGAGGATTGGATTGAGCCAGTGAAATGTGTCATTTTCGACAGTCGCTGTATTAGCATTATCGACTCACCTCCGCTGATACCGATTACTCTCAGACATTTGCCACTGCATTATGTGCAATTCACCGTAATTAATATTGCATATTCGGTATGTGGGGATCAGCAGAAATGACTGAATCAATACCAGTAATTTCTCATTGAACGCGTTCAATATTCCGTCTAATTACAGCGGCCTGAATAATTCGCGTGAAACGTGACATCGGCGAAACAGACGATTTCTAATCAAGCTCAAAGAACTTTTTTCCTTCATCACCCTAAAACCTTTGTAGCTTCGATAGCTCCACTCACTGAAGACAACATGAAAGAGATGACAGTTTCATCAATGGCAGATGTCTCTGTACGCTATTCCGTAACTCAGAGTCCGAGCGAAGATTTGTATTTATTCGCGAGCTCTCGAGCGTATTTGTTCAAGGCCAGAGTAAACCTGTAGTGCCCCTTCAATGAAGACTGTGCAAACTTCCTACCCAGTGTATGAAGCCCTGATGTTTGGGTATAAATGTATACATATGTACAAAGTGACTTATCAGAGGAGCCCACTGGTGCATTCTCCATTAACGTAAAACGCAATGCAAAGATGAAGATAGTGTTGGTGTTTGCTAATCCTGAAAGAAGCAGCTAGAGGTAAAGAGGATAATGTTCCGGTGTTTTTAGCGTTTGACTCATTTATCAGATGTACGCTGAGTGCATCCTTTCGACTTTCCCTGTCGACAATTAAAAAATACACTCAGGATGGAATAAATTAATAGTTGAAAGATAGTTTATCTGCTCGAGTTTATGAGTTACGTCATTTGCGGATTATCCTGTTAATTAGTTACATGGTGAAGTTCATCCGTGATGAAGCGATATACAAATTACGGGGGAATAAGAGGGCAACCATGTTCCTTCTGTTCACGTTGAACCTTCCTTCAAGTGGAAAAGGCAGCTCTTGGCACAGTACCCCGGGACTTTATCGAATTTGAGTAGCACGATAATCAGATCAGACCTTGGCTCACAGAATATATTTATCAGCGTTAGGTAAGCAGCCTCTCGGTTCGATGAGAATGAGTGGGGATAGGTACCCTGAGAAATTTTGCCAAAGTGCCCGCTTAATTCTACCTTCTTCCTCGAAACTTCACGGTAATACAGTGAATCCACTTAGAATGTTTAACCATCACGTATTCAATCGATTGAAATTCACGTGAGACTTCCTTTACCGTGGCCAGTGTTCATTAAAATGTCTAATTCCATGACGATTCTATTGAGTAATCAGTAACTCGTGGCTTATTTTTCAGGTGGATCTGTCAATGAGGCGGGGGTTTTTGCTCTGCGTGGGAGACAGGAGGGCAGTAGGAGATCTAGAAGAACCACTACAAGCACACAGAAAACGACCGCCTTAGCCGTTGCTCCGACAACACTCACCTCAACATCTGAGGATGTTGCTCGGCCCGCAGCACTTCTCGCACCAGATGATCAAACATGGTTTGTCGCTTCTACTCCGGCACCCGAAAACTTTCCGTTATCAATAGGCACTTCGAGACTACCACCACTTGAAATTGTTGTCAAACCAGCGGACAAAGTCATTTTGCCGTGTGAATTGGGTGGAAACTATTCCACGCTACTACCAATCACCAGGTAATCATCTCCACAAATAAGTCTTCCTCAAGTATTAAAAAAAAAATAGTAAAAAAAATTCTCATCTCTTGATCAATCGATTTACGATTTTGTTGTTGATTAATGATTCAATAATTCATTAAGTCGTGAACACCGGGAGTAAAATTCGGGGGTTATATTTAATTAGATATCTCGAGTGTTTTCATTTTGAAAATAATGGTACGTCGATATGCAGCAGGAGTTATCGAGTACGACCTGCCAAGTGGCTGCACAATGACACACCAGTTGACATGATAACAATAAATACGGAGAAGGAGATAAGTGGTACGGGTCACAGGTACATCGGGGACTTAATCTCAGCATCTCTGCACATCGATAATGCTAGACTGGAGGATGATGGCCTGTGGAAATGCATCATAGAGACCGATCGTGGAGAGCTACTCGCTGGAAGACTGGTGAAACTTGTCATTCTCGGTAAGCTAAAGAATCACTCCTCCACTGTTTTCCTATTTCTTATCGGGCTATTGATTCACCAATGGATATTCCAGACTGCTTTCGTGCTACTGAAGTACAGTTCGATCACTTCGTTAAACTGTCTCGGATTGACATTGATGGATGATACACGTAGCAATAACAATCCTCACTCCTCTCAATTCGAGGGGTTGCTATTTTTCAAATATATATCTGTGAACTCGCCTTGTACACCGATAAATCTCGGTAATTCGTGTACTCCATAAAATCAGTCAATCCTTAACGGTTAAAAAAGTCCTTTCATTTCTCACGAGAACGATTTTTCTCTGGTTTCTTTAAAAAAAAATGTCGCTATGTTGGAAACATCGGGTTCAAGACAATTTTTCTTTGTCCCTGTCATATTCTTCGTTATATTTATCGTAACAGCTGAGTGGACAGATCCAATGCTAAATAATTCTGATATCCCGTTGCACCGTGATTTAAATTAAAAGTCCAAGTGCGGTACGTGAAACGGCTGTTGTGGATTTTTTTTTTTAACCGAACCTTCTACCAATATTACCCCATGCATATTAATTCACGTCACTGAATCACGACCCGGTGAACGTATATTTCCTGGGAAAATATTTTTTCTTCTGTTTAGAGAGTTTATATTGAATTTGAAATGCCTTCTGCTTTATGGTGTATTTCTATAAGAAATAAATCATACAAATTGTGATTCAGTTTTCTTTTCTTTGAGGTAAGAAATGCTTGAGCTGCGGCTTCTCTATTTTTACTCGACATGACTTTTCTCGCAATATGAAATATCGGTCGGCCATTCGTCTCTTGTCGAATAGTAAATATCTTGTTTATTTTGGATTATAATGTGAGAACGATTTATTTTCCATTGCGTTTCGTGAATCTCGCGTTCAATTCCAATCCAGTAATAATCTTACATGACTAGTCACTGCTGATCGTTAGTCTATTTAGCAATCAGTGGTCATTGGCCATCAACTGACCATTCATTATCGAGATCTTCGACCTGTAATTAACAGTGCTACATCGTGTTTGCTGGGATAAACCTAAGGTATGAGGGCTGAACAATCATGTTTGATAAATCAGTCATACGTACTACTGCTTCTGGCGGATTCTCTTACGATCAATTAAATGATCCATTTGGCTGATTCATCGCTCCATTAATTTCAAACCGATGGGGAGTTTTTTTTTTCCCCCTTGTTTTTATGCACCAACAATATTCAATGGTAAATTTGCGTTTCCGGTTTTATTTGAGGTTTCAATGGATTTTATGGAGTTTAATTCAATTTGGGTGGAGCACTTTGGTGCAGTATCACTTTCGAGTTATTGTTCAGTCATTTTTCCTCTCATTTTTCGACGTTTTATTTTTAGTTTTTGCATGTCCAATAGAGCGGAAAATTTCTGTTGAACATGAAATTTTGTGGGAAAATTCAATAATCTGACGATTTTCACGAGAAAAATCTTTTATTATCCAATTTTCGTGGGAAAGAAATTCATTGGATTTTTATTTCTACACTGAGAGAAATATTCAATAAAAATTACGTGTATTTTCCGTAATTCTGGAGCGAAATGGGGTTGTCGAAAATTTTACGGAACTGTCACGTAATTTTTATCTAAAGTCACGGAAATTTTCCGCGGTGTTCCGTAATTTTTATCTGAATAATCGGTCAAAAATAACGATACCGTCATTTAAATTTTTCGAATGAACTCCGTAATCGGTAAGTGAACTGAAAGTTCCGTAATTTTTCCTAAATATTTCTCTCCGTGTATCAGCGCTGGTTAATGAAATATTCGGTGTTTTGGATTATAAAAAATTTTTCAATTTTCACAAATTTTTAACGCTCTCGGTAGGGAGCGGTCAAGTGAATGGTGAGCTTGCGATCCTTGTCTGCCTGTCATTTCAACAGAGAGCACTCACCACTTTACGACACTCCTATATCCAAGATTCTTCAATGGTCCAGACAAGAGCTCACGCAACATCCGTCCATCCGATCACGTGAGCTCTCACCAACTTTTACCCCGGTCTATTGAGTTTGCTCAGACTGATGTGTCTCCAAAATGGCCGCCACGAGAGTGCTTCTATTTATTCTTCATCCTACATTTCATTGGAGGCTAATGGGACAGAAGTGTGACACAGAAAATCACTCGTTCGAATTAATTCCACAGGAACAAAAAAAAAATAAACGAGAACGGAAAACGCCTTTCGGATCATTCAAAAGTGGATGGATGAGCGAACTGTTAATGCACACCACTTCAGCCTATATTTCTACTTTTATTTCTCTACTCTCATCATTTTATCACTCCATTATCGCGAATCGGTGATAAAAGGAATGCGCCACAGGTGCTAATGCGGAATGCCCTAAATAATGTAAGTGAACATTCAGATCTTGGGGACGTCACGGAATTCATGTAAAAATACTTCCAATTAAAATAATTGAACAAAAACAATTTACTCAACGCGAATGCACCCATCGCAATTCGTTTTCGTCAACTTGGCTTAAACGAAATTAGAATTAAACGTTTTCCCTGCACTCGCTAAGCAAACATTTGCATTTAAAAAGAAAATCCTGGGGACTCAGTCGTAATTCGAAAAGGGGAGAGCTGAAATATTCGATGCTGTCTCGTACATTATCAGTCTGTCCTTAGCCAACTCGAGTCGTGCAAAGTTACGCCCCATGATAAATAGATAGACGATATAAATCTCTCGAGATTGAGTCACCGTGACTTCATTTACTTGACAGACGATTATCGGTATGACACTGCGGCAACATTTCGAGGGGGAGGGCAATCACGTTGAGTGCGTTCGACTCATTAAGCCATTATCCACATGCAAAGAGTTAATTTGTAAGAGTGGACAGTGAATGGAGGGATTGGACAAATGTATTCGACTCTATTCAATGGCTCCCTCATAATGCACGTATTGTTGATTGAGAATGGATTTTGGTTATGATGGACAGTGCAATCTCCAAATGTCTATTTATTTTTTTGACAATTGATTGATAATGGGGCCTGATTGAATGGAGGCAGAAGACCTCCAGAACCTGTGGTCACTGTAATCGCAGCTGTTCGAAGCTTTTCGCAGCTTTTCAATTTTTATTTTTACTATCGGTCATTTATACCACGCGCTTTTACCCTGAACAGGGCTATCCCATGTTTATCTAGGAAAATCCTTGGGAAATAAAAAAAAAAGGGAACTATCCAGACGTGTATAACTTGCACTCACCGGAAGTGGCTGGAGAAGGTGTGATTCAGACGGGAGCGATATGGGTGAGTGGCTCTACCACTGGGGTAAAACGTTTTGCACGTTTTCTCGATGGAAAAAGGCAGTGCCCTCCACCCACCACCCACTGGGTGGAAATGGTGGGTGGGAAAAACGGTGTGGGAGAGAGTGAGCCTCTGAAGTGAATCGTTTCCGCGGCTTCCGATACCTCGTCGAAGAAAACGAGCTCCCGTATGTTCGGTTTCTCGAGATAAACGTTGACGGCGTAATATACGGAAAGTGTTCCGTCAGCATGGATTAATGGATGTGCCCCCGTGGAACGATTCCAGGGCCTCGGGTTGTAGCGGAATAGACCAGGGGTGAATTTGTGCCGATGGTGGTGGTGAGGGATGGGGAGTTGTAAGAGGAGTTAGTTGGGGATAAAAAGAAGAACCGATAAAAAAGATAGGAGATGGAAAAAAAAAAGCCCGTGGAATGTGATGGCGTGTGGATTTTATACCTCCGAATTGTGGAGAGAAAGTACGGAGAGGAGAGAAACCGGTGAAAGCTAATCTTTCCGGGCCAGAAACAGCATTTTGCGAGTAAAGTCGATTGAACGCGCTCATGCGTGTCTGGGATATGGGAGAATCCAGTGGGTCCATTGCTCCAGCTGAATCAAGGATCTTGTCTATTTATTGCTCTTTTCCCCTATGGTGAACACTCGGGTCATTATCGCGGGAGATGTTGGTCGCTGTCTAGGGAGAAATAGTGGCCCTGATTGGATTAGCACATGTATTACTGCTATTTCGGAAGATTCATGGACGACGGGTACTTATTTATACTGAAGAGCCAATGAAATGTAGGGGGTATTGATTGCGAGGGATTGCACCCTCTTCATTCCTGATTGCTTAGGAATTTCGGGGGGAAATTGTTGGAATGGAAAATTTCCATAGCAACCCTATATTAAATTCTTCTTTAAGGGAATATTTTTTAGAGAATTACAGCTTTAGGAATTCTAAACAATCCCGAGGAATAGAAGAAAATTTACCGATTGAATTGATATCGGAAAAGTCTTATCGTACTCATAACTTGGATGGACTACAGAATTTCTACGTTCAAGGGCAACAGCTGTTCCTAATTGGAAAATCGATAATACCTTTTGGACCTGGACGCCGGATTTCTCGTGTGTAATGTCAAACATTTTCGAGTAGTTCCGGTACATTCTAGGGGATTTTTTATATCGATATTCATTCGAGGAAATTTCACTGAATCTTCTTTATGGAATTTAATGGTCATTAATTACTGGTTTATCGGAGAAATCGTAATTTTTAGTGATAAGGCGTGTGTGGCCTACATCTGGTCTCGGTATCTTGTCGCAACCGGTGATATAAAAAATACACGGAAATAAGAGAGGGAATGGAAATAACCGGGATGAGAGGGACATTTGGCTTTTGTGTATGGAATCTTCTCTCACTCGTACTGTGGGGACTTCCTCTTGAATATTTAACATTTCGCTCGGCGAGTTACAAGAATGTTGAGGAAGGATAGTCGGTGCGCGGTTGCACATATTGCCGCATACATATTTGCATGGCCCAGTTGCTCACGCGCTACCCGGTGACTCTTCGCATATATGAATTGTGAACAAACATGTACTTCCATTATTTTTTTATCCTTTTTTAAATAACCACCTCTTTCTCCACCCGCAACGAACCAATTTTCGTTATAAATTTTCACCTACAAGGAGTGTCTAAACACCAACGAAAAATTCAACGGAATGAGAATTTGAACGCCGTTTCACCGGCAAATATTTAATGTCGGCTTTTAAAGATAAAAAAGTCGGGAATAGTTCATAGCATTTCTCACAAAGGATTCAATAAAACTCGGGGCAAATAGGAGAAATAATTCTACCGGTATGTCGCAGAATAAAAATCTAATATCAAGTGGAGGAAATACAGGGGAAAAACTTTCGCGGTATGAAAAAGAACTTTTTAAATTCTCGGAAATTTCTAATAATTTTGGTTTTAATGAATGAAAAACAAATTCAATTCTCTGAATTTATTTTTTTTTATTTACTAGTTTCAATACATATTTTTCTGTAATACCATTTTTATTTTAACAGCGCAAGTTTTTCATTCGGTGAGAAATTGAAATGGAGAAACTGTCAAAAACCGCATCGTGTTCCAGGCTCATCCCCAATTCTCAACACCCACCTCCGGATATTGTGAAATTTTACAAAGTACCTCGGGTACTGGAGGGACAAGTTTTGGAAGGGAAGAAAGAGGACTCAAACGAGGGATAGAGGAGGACGAAACGATGCACCACGTGCGCCAAATGTGCTTCGAAGAGGCGTTGGCAAGCACCAGTGTTAGGGTCGAGAACAGTAGACGTTATGTGTTCGTATTAACACCTGGTGTACACTCGTCCAGACTGTCCGGATTGTACTTTTTTTTTTCCTCCCCGAGAAACCGTGACATTTCCCCGGGTTTTCTTCGGACCGGTGGTGATATCGGGAGTAGATGGGATGTAGGGTTCTTGGGATGACACCAGGAGTGTCGTTACACCCTGGCTGATGGTGTTGGTGGTGATGGTAGCTTTCTTTCCCCAGGACAACGGCTTCGACATTGCAGGGGTACCTCGAGTCCGGCTCGTTGAACGTTAAATAATTCGTGGCACCGGCTGGTGAAACTCCGACGTGTACACGTTTAACTTTCATCCCTCCGCGATTTCATAGGTATTCAGGCGTGACTTGGAGACAATACGAATTTTTCCGGGGACAATTTAAAAATACTCCTATAAATATTCCTCCGATATATTACCCTCCCCTTCCTCTCTGTACCCAATTAATTATAAATAATTATTAATTGAAAATTTTAGACGAATTGTACGAAATTAAATTTGGATTCGGAGAAAATTCTTTGGATTTTTTGTAAATAATTATCGGTTAAATATTTTTCTACACTTGTTTCCGGGGCATTGGTATATCGTTCTGTGAATTTTATTTTATCAAAGGACTGCGGTAATACGATAAATCGTTGATTACGATCTAGCTAAAGGGATCATGGCTCATGGATGATTCTCGGTATCACGTTTGATTCAAGTTTGAAATTTTAAGCCACTAGGGAATATGCCGTCGTTTAGTTTACATTTCCCCACACGTGCTCGGGTTCAGAGGTAAACCTTTATATAAACGACACGGGGATCCCCCGGAGACAGTGTTTCCCAACTAACCAATTATTGGAGAGTCTGTATATATTTCTACAAGGCTAAATAACATTTCAACTCTCGGTTCTCATGAGTACATACTCGTGAAATTAATGTTGAGTGGCTTTCAAGGGAAAGCGCTTCAAAGCACTTTTTTTTTTCATGCTGCGGAGAGCGGTTCTGCACGGTGAATTTAATGTTGTGTTTATTCTCAACATGTGTGCATCATTCTCTGTGAGATATCTTGATTTAAAATGGATATTTGGTTGTAACTTTATAGTCGGGATATGGTATCACCAAGTCTCCTATTTACCATTTGTTAAATTTAATTTTCCACTAACATACAATTATACAATTGTTAACCCTTTCTTTTCAAGTTTCCATCTATGATTTACTTCCACGAAAATCATCTGCATAATTGAATACGGGTTTGAGCTGTCTGAAATGTTATTAATTTTCCATTTACTTTGAAATATTTCATCAGAGAGAATTTACTTTCCTGTTTATTCTGTGGGCACGTGTACGTGTCCCAACGCAGGCGAAGAGGTGATTTAAGATGGATATTTCGGTATTGTCCAGCGGCGAGGATAAATTATCCCCAATCTCTGATTTATTCCTGAAGAATTTCCCTCACCCTTAAGGTGAAACAATAAAATACGATAGAGCAATTTAGTCTCGTACATATACCACAACAGCCCCCCAGGAAACTTTACGAGCCATTCGTGTTTCAGAGGCGCCACGGGGGACTTATCTTCTGATAGATAGCCGACGTTTGGACCCAGGAAATCAGTTTGTACCCGTGAAGGAGGGCTCAGACCTGACACTGGAATGCGCTGCTGAGGGTGGCAATCCACCTTCAATCTTGTCCTGGGGTATGACACTCTCTCAAACAACACTTGATGGACCCGAACAGCCACCGGACAATCTCACTGTTGTACCATCAGCACGAGCTGGTCACAGTGGTGCACATCTCAAGGTACTGAGGGGACATCACAATGCAACGATTATATGTACGGCACGCCATGTCACATTGACAATGCCGTTGAATGCAAGCATACTCCTTGATGTTCAGTGTAAGTACCCATTATCGATCGCATTGGTGAAATGCCAAGCGTTGTTGCTGTTTATGATAACATCGGGTCAGAGATAACCAAGTGGTCTCTCAATTTTGGGGTACCTTTGTTGCACCAATCAGAGCCCTCATGTATTCAGTTAAACATTTTTTCTTCATCCGATCAGAACTGAGTATTTGGTAATAATTACTCATTTACGGTAATGTTACCGAAATAATTACCACAGCTGGGTAATAATTGCCGGTTAATTGATTAATAATGGAAATCATCAATTGGCAGAGATATTGAGTGTCCTCCATTTTGAATTCGATTTGTCATCTCGAGTAGTCTGAATGAAATTCTCCCCATCTCATATCTACCCCAAGATAATATCCGCGAAATGAGAATATTGCGGCTGGTTTAAATGGAAATTTAATGAAATTTCACTGTAATAGCTGGGTTTTAATGAAGATTCACGTCCAACAAAGATTTTAATGTAATACAATTCATCGCCATGAGGGTTGAATTGCGAGGCGCTGGGTAGAGCAGAGCCGAATTTGATGGATATTAACAAAAACACTTCACTCGTGTATTGCAGTTCGACTTGGATGTAAATTTTAATCGCGTTTACACGGGTTAATTACGTGATTAAACACAATATGATGCAATAGAGCAGGCGTCCATTATTAGAGGAGAAATGAGCATTCAAATATTGACGTAAAGCTGCGGTGCTTCTGGATCTCCCGTCATATTAACAATTCCAGTGCAATCTTTACTCGAAAACATATTATAGGGGCGATGATGTTTCATATCGGTACCGACTGCACTTGATTGATCAATTATACTCCCTAATTAACCCATCGTAAATCAATTTTAATATTAATTAAAAATTTTTTGAATAAGTGAAATATATTCAGAAGAATCGGAAAATTTATTATCATTATTCATTAAAAAAATGAATTTTATTAACTGCCCGGGTAAAAAAAAATGTCAACGGAATATTTTTTTCAAATTTTCAAAAAAAAACTGGAAAACTGGTCAGAAAATTTTTTTTTGAAACAAAAAAAAATTGGGAGACAAGACAATTGTTTTTTTGGGAAACATTTTGAAAAATTTTTCAAAAATTTATTTCGGAAAATTCTTTTTATAATTTTCTAGAAATTTTTGCGAATATAATTTTTCTTTTAATTATACTGTTGTTTTCTTACTTTTTTGATTTTCCATATTCTCAAAAAAATACGCCATCTAAATTATAAAAAAAAATTTCCTATTCAAATTGTTGAAAAATTGTTCAATTTTATTTTGTTTCATAAAAAAAATTTTCTGAAAACTTTTCCAGAAATTTTTAAAAAATTTTCAAAAAATATTCCGATTACAATTTTTTTTTACCCAATTGCCCTCCATATCATGAACAATATATCAATATATCAAATATATTGTATTGTTATATATTTTATTTATCAAATGCATTTTTGCGGGTAAAGTGCTCCGTACAGTGAACCTAAAACTCCGAGTCCTGATCCTACAATAAAGCATCAAAACATATTAAAAAAAAAAAAAAGAAGTGAAATCACTACCGGTAAATCTGGAGAATTGATACCCCGAAGACCGTAAAAACGTGCATGCCCCCATAACCCCTTATTTGAGTACTTTCCCCTTACTCCGCGGAGTCCACACCATAAAACCATTTCAGTGCCCCTCAACCAACTTTACATCAACTACCACTGGGGTTACACCATCTAAATTCCCCGTGACTCGTCGAAATTGAAATATAAGTTTAATTAAAGCCAGATCTGCGCAGTGTGGACTCCATAACTCACCTTGAGCCAAGTATACCCGATACTTGTACCTCGGGGTTTGTATTATACCTTGCAGTTTATTTTCTCCACCTCTTTTCACTACTTACTCCCAGGCGGCAGGTTTCCACAGATCCCTCAGCCCATTCCTCCCCCCATACCCTCCACCTGTAGTATCGAACCAGGGAAAGCCTTATAAGCACAGCCAGTAGTTTCCGCGGCAGTTTTCTGGAAAACTTGACGGTGCCAGGGATTAACTCTTGCAACGAGAACAAAAACGCCAAGTGCTCGAAGAACGCGACTCGCGAGTTCCTCGGGTGTTCGAGGTGAAAAGAGGATAGCAAAAAAGAAAGAAAGCATAAGGTTTTTCTCTCACAAGACTGGAAAACGCATATACATCACTCCACCGGTTTCTTCTTATTCCGTTAGCCATCCTTTTCAACGCTCCCGAGCGCATCGTCTACTTCTTCTTTCACTTTATAGTACCTCTCTTTTAACGACTATTTTCAGCGTCTCCCATCCTCCCGCGATCATCTTGTCGCTCGTCTCCAACTCGTTCTTCTTATTTCTCCCATGTCTTCTCTATTTTTTTAAACCCATTACGCTGCATAAAACTGTCGTACCTCTCTTGGCAAAGTAATTTCTCAGTAATACCGCTTTATTGCAGTCTCAACTGCTTGATCACTTGACGTGAATTCTTTTGATGGCACATGATATATCGGTAGATACTTTGAATTTAACTGTCTCCAGTTAAACTCGGTGATGAACACGAATTTCACGGATGATTTGTCACTGCATTGATATATGCGGGTCATCCGATCTTCTGATCGGTTATACGGGCGGTTCATCGTTATTGCAACAATTTTTGTTGCTGTTGTTCACTCCATTCGTATTCAGTGATTTTATGAGGGCTGGGATTTTATAAGCGAGATATCACCCTCTCACCTGATTGGGCGGTGCGATAAGTGCGTTTTTCAGGAGAAATTGAAGCCACTATAATGCTATAAATTACCAGAGAAATTGAGGATGATGAGAGACTTGAGAGAATCTATTTCTATGGTAAGGGGAAAATATCCGTGGAATAAGCCGTCGTTGGGGCTGATAGGGAAGTCCTGAGGATGATGAAATTAGGTGGGGTAATTATGGTACTCTATGTTCAAGTTCTTTCATGTGTATGAAAGATGAATAGTGCAATAGCTAATTTTTTTCGTTGAAAATTATTTTTATTTCGATAAAAAAAGCAAATTGGCTGGGATATTTCTGTATTTCTGTATTTCATTTTCTCGTTGGATTCATAGAGCCTTGGGATAGGTGCAGCTTGACCCAGATATCATTGAGCGGGATAAATTCACTCGCAAATTGAATACAATTGTTACTCAAAGAAAGTAATGAATCGAGTTTGCTCGGTGCAGTTGAAGTGCAGTTTTCTTGTCTTGTGAGAACAAGTTTGCTTGTCATTTTTTTTTTCTCGTGATTACTTAGCTCGGAGATGGTGAAAATAATCCTTGGGAATATCTTCGTAATGGTGATGCTTCTGCTGCATGTCAATGTCATTCACAATGAACGATTTTATTATAGTTAAACAGACGCTTGGAGCAAGCAGTTTAGCTCAACCCGAGCCATAGTTGCCTCCTTCAGTGGGTCTCGTGTTTTGCTATTCACGTCAGAGCCTGGCTTACACTCGATCAATCATATTCAAATCTACCGCGACAGTACACTCACTTGAACCGGTATATTATCCTTGTAGTTGGAAAACGTGCTCAGCTGGCGTTGATACTTGTTCGAGTACCTTTACCGCATCTCTTCCGATTTTTTTACAAAGGCATGGAGGCAGATTTCACATTGAAACGCATTTTTTTTCTCTACTTGCATTTCAGACATTAAATTAAATATATTCACTATAAATTTCTAATTCATCTCGATCTGGAGAAGGAACTATAGGAAAAGAAAAAAGGAATTGATCGAATCATTTTTTGGTGAGATTCTTTTTTAACAACAAAATAATGTAATAATTCAAAAGATATTTTATTTAAAACGGTGAGACTTTGAGTTACACCCGGATTTTCAACAAAGAGAATTTATTTTCAAATATTACGCAAAAAAAAATGATTTTGTCTAAAGCCTGATAGATTCTTTAGCCGTGGATATCTAGTCCTTTGTGCGTTTGATGTAAATCCTCCGGGTCTCTCTAGGACTCTGACAAATTCCAATTTGCCCTTGCTCTCCGTTAATTCCCGAAACTCAGTTGATCTATTTGTGCGATGTTTTTTTTTTCCGGATCTCTTCGGTCCCACAGGAGAGAAAATTCAGGAAAGAGTGCGGAGATGAGTTCGATTCGCGTGAGTTTGCTGATCGAGTTAGGACCCGAAAGTTGGTGAAGAGTACGTGGCATTTTTCCTCGAGCCAAGGGTTCTCCGTAATTGATTTACGAGCCCTTTGTCGATGGGCTACAGCTGATGAGATGACAGCGGAAGGCGAGAAAATATTAACGGCAATATTGAATATTGCGGAGTGATGGGGTGGGGCAGATGTATTTTTATAAACGAATCATTCAAAATTATTGCTAGAAGAATAATCCTGATGTTAACGAATCAGTCGATTCGCTCCTCATAAAAATCCTTCAGAAATTCCCAATTCCTTCTGCTATTTCTCGAGTGTGAAACTCTGAAGCAATACCTAACTCACGAGTATCATGAACTCACCATCAAAAACCCGTTGGAGTTTCTCGAGGAGGAATGAGAAATTCCTGGTGATTTTTCCTCAACAAAATTACCCGTGGCAATCTTTTCTCTCCAGTTGTGTGCACCAGTGTTTGTACACGACGGAGTTAGATACGCTAGGGGGTCGAGCGACCTCTCGGCATCCTGGCATTTGCTATAAACTCGTGAAAAGTAAATAACGTGCACCAGTGAAAAAAAAAACACCCCCAACCCAAAAAAAAAAATAGCCAGAGAATGAAAAACATTCTTCATGAGGAGACGTGAGACTGATTGACACATATATATTGAGCTATCCAATTCTAAAGTGATGCGATTGTTGATAACAATATCCATCCGAGTGAATAGTGAACTGAACTCCAATGAGTTGACGAAAATAAATCCGAAACTTTTGCAGTATCCATTGATTTTCCAATTCAATAGTCAACTTTATATTCGCACTATAAAAAATGTTCAAGTGATGAGTGGGAAATATTTCTGGATAAACAGTAAATAGCCAAATGTTGAGGAAATTTGAAAGAACTAATTGGCGAGCTGGAATTGTTGATAAGAATACCGAGCTGAATGAAGAGGAAAATAAATTGAAATGAGTTGGCAAGAGTAAATCAGAGAAAGTTTCTCATCCTTGATGAAAATGTCTCGTCTTGGGTTTCCGAGTTTAATACCGATTTACATGTTTCTCAAAGTGTTACCCGGAAGCTACTCGCACGGCTTAGTAAGTCTATCCCTTAAGTGGAAAACTAAAGTCCCACTCCCTCCATCTCTGCTGTTCGTCAGTTTGGTATCTCATTTCATTTCACTATCCACTTGAGGTTTACTTTCTACGTTTAACGTCCTTTACTTTAACGATCGACATCAACTACCGACCGATGTTGCGTAAAGCTCTCAATAATTATATTGTAAGACAAACTTCAGGCTAACGAGATTTTACTGACATTAAAATTGTATTTTCCCGGGTTTTATTAAAAAAGTTTTGACACTGGAGACTATAAAAAATGAGACACGACGTGTATTCGATTTACATAAAAATCCATCGAAATCGGTGGATGATCGAACGATAAATTTAAAAGTATCGCCCCAGGTGTGGGTGGTACTTATCAATAGATAATTAATATCCAAGGATAAAGATAATCCAATTAAAAATGTATCTTAGAGCTGACGAGAAACGACAGGAACAGGAAGATGCGATGAGAATAAATAAAATGGAATGCTCTCCACCACCGGAATAGGATTCATATAAATAACTTGATCCCCCGCGTTTCCAGTGATCGACACGCAATCATGAAACCAAAAATAAGGACTCCCCATTGAATTGGTTTTCTAGGGAACCCCAGAGAAGTGGTAGGAATATATATTGACAGTTGGTGAATTCAGTGTACAGATTGTGCGATGGGAGAGTTGGTTGTGGGATTTTGTCAACGGGATCCGATAAGACGCGTCACCCCGCGATTTGCATCTGAAATTTATACAGGAGGCAACTCGTTAACAGACCGACGTTACACCCAGACGTCATATCCACAATATACAAGGAGATTCTCCTCTTTATTGTCACGTGCAATCAATCGACTCGGTGAAACTAGTGTAGACCCATCGACAGCCGCGATGAGATAAAATTTCATGTTATTCTTCCCATCCTTTTGAAGTGGAAATATTCTATTGTGATTGAAAATAATTTAGAGTCTCGGAAAAGAAGTCTCTTAACATTGCCACCGTACTCGTAAAGTTTACTGTATAAACTAAAGCCCAGTGTGTCGATTCACCCTATTATCGGGTATCTGATAGACTCCGAAGGGTCGTGTATGAAATTTCAGACGGAGAAGACTTCCTCTCCTTTTTACGATCACACGTGCGATTTATCCTTTTCACGGTGAAGCAGTAAATGCACCCCAATCGCTTCAAACTCAACTACCGAGTGGTTCATCCACTAGCAGTTCGTATTGATAATGTGAATTACTTGCTCGGGTAATTGCCTTGCAAAATATTCCAATTAACTCGGATAAATGCTGGAGGTGGGTGTGCTTGTTGCAGGGATTAAATTTTCAAGATTCTCAAGTTTAATTTAATATTGGGACATTTTCATGGCTCTTCGGGGTGTGGAACGTGGATCTGACGTGCACCACTGACGCCTCGCTAGTTATTTTCCTCTTTGAGAATTAGTGGATGCTTGGAGAAGTTCGGGGACTTTAACTCGCTAAACAATTGGCCTCGGCAAGGTGAAGTGGAAATATTTGAATTGTCGACTTTTCATCTACCGAGTAATCCACGGTATTTCATGCAACCGGGGTATGAAATTCATTTATTACATGCATTTTATACATTAATTGCGGAAGCCGCGTCATTGACGTATTTTCAGATTTATTCTTTCATCCCTCCACATAATGACTCATGAAATTAAAAATCGCGTCTTCCTTCATAACTAATAAATATAAACAATAAATGGTAATCAAATGATAATAATAATGATTATTAATATTGATAAATATGTATTTTTTTATATTGTATAATTTTAACTGTGACTAGAACTTAATAAAATCGATGAAAAATATCTGGTCCCCATTTTTATTATTTGTAAATAAATTTATAAATACCAAGAGTTGTCGTCAGTTTCTCGAATATCAATCGTCTTTTTGTAATGTAACATATTTCGATGCGTCCGCACACTCAAATTTTCCCCTATTTTTCTCAAACTCCATCTCCATAATTACGCCGACTGGTTTTTCTCCAGTTTGCACTGGTCCTGGCCATTCGGTGGCCGTCAACTATTTCTTTTACTATTTTTTTTTTTTTTCATTTTCTAACTTTCACGCGCTGTTAGTTGCTGTAATTTCCAGCTACATGTTGCCTCCAGTGCTGCATACATGAGGCTTGTCTGAGCCCTCGGCCCTCACCCGCGGGAGTCCCTACTCCTGGAGCACGTAGAAAGAGAATGGCGTGTGGACGACACTTCATTAAAGCGACGCGACAGCGATTTTCTTTCCGCCTGGACTCACACGTTCGTTGGGTGGTTGTAGGAGGGAATGAGACAAAAAGTTAGGTAGAACGTCACTTCTCTGTCCGCAATTATATTCCCCGTGCTTTGCACGGATTTATCCGGTGGTGTGTACCTTCTGCGTGCCACTGACAACGAGTTCCTCTTGATTGCTTGTGTTTTTCACTCTCTCGCATTTTTTTTTTCCACTCCGACGTTGTCTCATCTTTTTTCATTCAGTGTCATTGTTGTTTCTCTTGTTTCGTTTCCACCATGATGCCCATGTGTCTCACTATTCATCTTCTTTTTTCCCTTTGGCTGACTCCCACCGCGGAAATCATCGGTATATTAATAGACATTGAACTTTTTCTTCGAGAACTCGCTGGAAATCTGAATGGAGAATTTATGGGGATACCCATGGGAATTCTTTGACAGCATTTTTTTTTTTGTGTATTTTTGACGGAATAATGGCATCTCGGGGGGGATAAAGACGATCAAAAGGTTTTTACTCGTCTACTTTCAAGGGCGATAAAAAATTAGTCTTAATGATTCATAAATATTTAATGAGTTCATAAACGCTCTGTTAGAATGAAAAAGGGAGGAAAATTCGAGGTTTTCGGGGGGGAGTTTTAAAAAAGGAGGGGTCAAAGAAGGAGGAGACGGGGAAACTTTAATCGCTCGAGAGGAGGACTTTGACGAGTTCTGCACAACTTTTCAGCGACAATTTGCAAACATTAGGGATAATCCCGTTGGGAGAATATTAAACTGGGCTTTGGGTAAAACAGAGCCGAGTGGATCGATTACAAAGTTCAAATGAGTTGATAATGAGACGGATTGACATCATGATGGGAATCAGGAGATGGGAGTTATGGGGGGAAAATACCGAGGAGTGGAAAATTTTTGGGTGTGAAAGTGAGAAATGAGGTGAAATTGTAATGGCGGTCGGATAACTTTCTGTTGGAGATGGGGATGACAATCCGTGCGTACTCGGACATGCAAAGTGGCGGGTGTTAAACGATAATAGCTGTCACCAGGTTGAAATCGGTGAACAAGAACTGGCGAGTACCAGCTTTAATAATTGCAGGCTCTTCACCATTTTTTTCCATTGCACGTAAGAGATACCCTACACTTTTTACCCTGTCAGCATTAATCTGACGAGAATTGTACGATAAAATTTCAATCTCCAGAAATGAAAAATCATTATCAAAATTGAAAGAAAAAATGAAAAGAAGATTATTGCTAATTAAAGGAATTACTACGAAAGATTGAGAGGAACTTTAAAAGGGTGCGGTGAAAAAAAAAATTGAAGAAATTTAATTTGACATTTGCGGAGAGTCCTCTCACTGAGGCTGGAGTGGAATTAATTTGCGGATAGGAATGAAGTCATGTCACATGACTACATGAAGCCGCACTAGTCCCCATTGAAATCAAATCAAATGTCTCCTGATTAAAACGGTAAAATTGGAAGGATCCCTGAGCCTTTGATATTTCAATGAGTGCTCAACTCGAATAACAGTGCAATCACTAGTCTCGCGATGGTGACAAATTTGGTATTTAATTCGTCCTCCATTATCCGAATATGTAGACTCCGGAGAAGAGCTTTCATTAAGCAGGCATTGTCTCATCCACCATTATGATCCCCTCCAAATAACTCAGCACCTGGAGTGAAACGTCTAGAATGCGATGCTCCACCAATTCAACGTCATTCCAATCGCGACAAACCACATCACTAGGTGTATTATTTAATTAGAACGCCCGAAGGAGGAGAATTCATCGTTGTCGCTCAAGGATATTGATTTTGTTTTCCAATTCCTCAAACAATAGGTATCATGATCGAGAAAATGGGTCAGTGCGGGCTTTATTTTCCCCATAAATGCAGAGGGAAATTTCGATTTTTCCTACCTACACTCCACGAAAATTGGATAGAGCAAAAATAATCAGAGTTGAATGTAGGTCACGCTTTATTCTTCCATCGGGCAATTTGATTGGTCGTCGTTCAATTTGGGAGATAATTGTTCAATGGTGGTGGGTAATTATTGACAGACGTGTGACATTAATTGTTTGATACGTATTTCAGATACTCCGTCATTCGCAATAACGCGTTTACCCGGCTTCGGAATACCCATCATCGAGGGGATGTCCGTTAGTCTGAAATGCGAGGTGGACAGCAATCCGTCAAGTTTACCGGTGTGGCAACGTGGTAAGTTACCATTCAATAATTTTTCAATTATCTGTCTCTCAAATTTTTAAATTATTTCAACATCAACCGGAAATTCATTTCTCATATGAATTCATTTGAAATTTTCAAGAAAATTTAAAGCCACCAAAATTAATCACTCAAGCGAAGGTCGTTTTATTAACTAAAATAAAAATAATGAAACTTCTTTCGGATAAGCTGATTTTTTGCGCGAGAGTGTAATGGATTAATTCACCGGTATTGCGATACTTTAGCGAACGAGAGCTTGATATTACCTTTTTTCAAGATGAATTCAAAATGAGGGGGGTAGTGGGCTCGCAGAGTCGCTGCTTTTTGTAACACTGTAATTTTCAATTCCCAGTGGATAATTACTCGAGCGCTGAAATGCAGTCCGTTGTATGTAAACTGTTGAAACCTCTCAGTCGTGTACCGCTCGAGGGAAGTTACTCCGAGCGAGATATTCCCTTCTCTATTCATTTTTTATTCAAATATTTCAGAATCCATTCGGGAAGGGAAGGGAGAAAATCTCCAAAAATCTTGCAAATTTTTTCTAATTCTGCATTCTCATTCGTTCTCATCCCCATATTTATTACTTTTAATTGCTGCAATTCAAAAGTCAGCTATTCATGGCTTCATCAATTATTCGTGAATTCGCATTAATTTTATACGCGTAGAATAATGAGCTAGTATGAACGATGAAAAACGACGAACGAGAAGTATTCCGATATTCACTATTCCTCATTAACACTGAGATTTTTAGCAACTGTTGCAATCTGCAGCTCTGAATTATTCATGCGAATAATTAATAATTAAATAACCATGTTCGACCGATGGGTTATCTGTGGTTTTTACTTTTATAATATAAAACACAATGCGAACAAAAGGATAATGTAATAATGATGATTAACGCCCAACAATTACCCAACGAATATTTTTCACAAAAATAAAATTGGCACTTAATTTTTATTTCTTAATTAAAAATCGTTACAATAATTTGAGATTGGATAAAAATTGTTTTATGTTCTCCACTGAAGCCTGAAATAACCCATCAACATTAAAATATATCCATCGACGAGGGGTGCCATTATCACCCCCCGAAATCCGCTGATGCGCAGTCATCCCCTCGGCAATTCCCTGGCACAGATTTTCCAAACGTGGGGATACCCAGGGCGGTGGTGCAATTCGTTTGTCCCCTGGCCAAATAGTCCGGATAAAAGTGGAGGGAACTTGGTAGGTCCTTTCACCGAGAATAAGGCCGATCCAGGGGGGGTAAAAAATTGAAACAAAAAAAAAAATAAACATCCAAGAATACGCTCGAAGAGCATCGAAATAAAAAAAAATCCTCTTTTGCTCTCCTGCCAAGTCACGACGCCGTCCTGTATCATCCGTGACAAAGCAGCCTCCGTATACCTTCACACAGACAATCGAGTCAAACCATGTACTCTCATTCCAGATAGATAGCTCTTATGTAACATGCGACGAAAAGTTTCTCTCCTCCCTCTCCCCGTTTTATATCCCCTTGAAAACTTTGTTACAATGCTCTATAAAATCCATACACAATATATATCCAATTGTTCCATATTTGTGGGTGAATGCATTGACTACGATGTATCACAGATGGTTGAATGTACGGAATTTATGGAGTGAAATTTAGGAAAGAATTGGAGACATTTGTAAATCCTCCATGTGGCATTTAAGTCGTGGGTTATAGCTCAGGGAAATTATGACTTTGGGTTATTGTTGCAGATAATGGACCGCCACCGGTCGAGCAGAGTGATGATGGCTGGCTTAACTTTACGAAAATCAGTAGAAATGACAGTGGATGGTATAAATGTTACACCAGACACATTTCGGGGGTTTTCTCCAGTATCGGATATTTTCTTCATGCACGACGTGAGTAATACACAAAATTTTTACAAAATTCATGAATGGTAATAGTTATATTTACATTCATATATTTCATTCATATATCACATTCATATATCCTAAAAAATAAATGTGCGCATTTTTACCGTGCAAATTAATGGTTTCACTGCACTTCAAAGAACACCACGAATTTCACCCCAATTTCATATTGATGAAGCGCATGTAAATTTTTTCGCAACTACTTGTTAAAAATGAAAGACTCACCAATCCACCACTTTATTAATCAATATCACCACCCATGAGCGCACTCTAGATTTTCAGAAAAAAATTCCGAGCACTCCACCTCCCATTAAAATAATTCAACAAACGATTGTCCAGTGAAGTGCAGTAACCACTGATTCACCAGTAATTTACGATAACCCGTAAAAACCTAAAGGCCAGCTATTTTGCATGGTGAGTATGGTGACTGGATTCTCGATAATGGTAAAACCACGGTGATTTGTCAAGGGAGGAAACCGCGGAGCCGTCCGGAAATTATTCGCGTCTCGTTGGTAAAATTTGCAAATTTCCTCTCTCTCGTGCAGTAAACCGAGGCCATCTGGCATTTTGGCGCAGTCGCCCATTGGGTGAATACTGGAATGAAACCCCACAATCTCCCATTCCCAAACTCAACACATCCCTTCAACCCAGTATAACAGCTCATCCCATCTCATTCCATCATCCTCACCACTCGACGCCTTATCCAAACGTGCTATCCCCAGTGTCCCCTCTCCGTTGTAGTACCCTCTCGTCCTGCTCATCACTCCGGTTTGCCAGCTTCCGATCGCCTAATCTCTCCGCAATTTGCCCAGCTAGAGGAACCCATAAACCCTCTCTCTCCTATGGTAATCATCGATTACACGGTTCAACGTCACCCCTCGAATACCGAACGGATTACTTATCCTCTCTAACGTGCAACATCCCCATCGTCCAACGACCTGTCTATTATAACATTCATATTATTTATTCATGCACCATTATTAATAGGGGATCAAGTACCAAAGTTGCCCTTTGTCTATCAATAGACCCATGTACTATTCATGTAGATCAATACATAGTCATTCGATCATGTTGTCACTTTAATTAGAACATTAATAATGCAATCAGATCTTTATTAAATACCTGAAGACTAGAAGTTTTGTTAATTATCATCGAATACTATTTCAGGCTTGAGCATTTCCAACGACATTCCTATTATAACAATCCTACGGTTTATTCAGTTGAATTGTTAATTAACGGATGATGTACCTATTCTATTGTAGATCTCAATGAATATAATCTATTCATGGCAGCTCGATCGATAGACAACATCGACCATGCTCTATCCTTAATTGAAACGGGAATAAAGCAGTTAGACTTCGTCGACGGAATTTCTTATCATAATACAGAATATGATGCCCCAGAATTTCATCATATCTTTATTAAATACCTGACGACTAAAACTGTCTGCCGACTAAAAAAATTGCACTTTCCTTTTATTATTCAACCCGTATGGTTCTCGAATGAAAAACTTTCCCGGGAATAATAATATTTATTAAAACAATCGGAATATTTGTGATGATAAGAGTAAATCGTCTGATGGTTTCTCGGACAGCTTTTTTAATTAAACCAAGGAATCTCCTGGTAAGACTTTATTATGAAGTAGAAAACTCGAGAGGTGTATGTTCTCTTCATAAAACAGAATATGATGCACCAGAATTCTCAAACATCTTTGTCAGATACCGAGACTCACTTCGCCTCGAAGAAACTTCATTCCACCAGTTTCTTTCCCTTTGAAATCCACATTTCCACACATATCTGTCCTCCATTCCTCCCTTTGTGAAATATATTTTTTTATTCTCACGGTCCCTTCCACCCCCACGACTCTAACGCTCTGATGTAAGAATATGAGTATACACCGAGAAAGCAAAGGGTCTTCAAAGAGCTAACGATCGATCGTTTGTAATTCGGATGAGAGGAATTTTCGTACATCTTCGTGGGATTTATTCCTCTTTATTCATCAGTAACACCAAATGCCAGGTACTAACTACTCAAAGTCGTGATAGATCCGTCTCGAGATACACGGAAAGACGATACGCCAAAGTTTATCCCTGGTACGTGACCAGTGAACACGATATCACTAACTCCCCATGACGCTCATCTCCTTCAGGATATAGATGACAGAGACGAGAGCTGCACCTCAGACAATCCTCATAGTGTATATAGACACCCGTGGAAAATATCTATCATATACATACCTATCACGTAACCAACGACCAGAGTGATCGACCAACTTGGACCAAGATTTAGCACGTGCTTCATTCCTTGTTTCAGTCTCAATCCATAAATCTTCACAATCCTCCAAAATCATTTGGGATCATTTGGGATCATTTGGGATCATTTGGGATCATTTACTTGTCATAAATAATGTCTGAAGTAATGTCTGAAGGAATTGATCGGGCCATAAAGATTTTCGAGACGTACTTCGAATAAATAAATAATGAAAGTTGAGAAACGATGGGTAATGGCGAGGGTGGAAAGACTTCATGGCATGTATCCTGCAGAAGAGAGTCGATTTGCATCAACACATCAGCACCAGCAATACCCCTAATCCTCTCCAACAATCCTCTTCCCAAGCAGTTATCATCCTCCATTCCCTCCAGCCTCGTTATGATGTTCCCATGCAGACGCTAGGGAAGATTGATATCACCTAATCTATAAATTCCATTAGTACACAGCACAATTGCTGGCTATGGTTACCTCCTTTTCCTCATTGCCAAGATTTTTTTGTTGGCTCACGCCCTCCGGAGATGTGAAATACGACTGGGTGATGTGGTCCTGGTGATTGAGAATAAAAAATAGATTGTTTGTTATTCACAGTGAATCCGGATTTGGAGCTTGAGGCTGAGGCGTTGAATGGCGAGGCAACGGATTCGCGAAAAGTTGAAGTACAAATTGGTGGTGCTGTTACGCTTGAGTGTGATGGTGGGTGTTGGGGGCATGGATCGGGTATGGAACCTGCTGGTGGACCTGGTGCTCTGGTACTGGGAAGAGTCGTTTATCAGGATGCTGGGGAGTATCGGTGCGTTGCGCCCGATCGAAAATTACAGGATACGTGGAGGGCACAGTTGCCTTATCAAATCAAAGTTACAGGTAAGTGCACAGGAAATACTAATGATTAATTAACCGATAACAGTAAATATTGATGGAGAACCTCCATGTACCTCGCAGCAACGAATTAAAAATTCCAGAAACTACATTCCGCAATTATCCGACCGTTTGGTAATAATTTTTACTTCGTGCAATGTCAATAAAAATATTTGTGAATAGAAATCAATTTGCAATGAGTATTCCACGAGCTTCAGGTATACATTCTCGAAAAGATAATAACCCGGACAAAACAGCCGCTGAAAATGTTTACTCATCTCTAGGTGATGGCGATGAAAGGAGAAATTTCCTCGGAAACGCGTGTCGCATGCAATTCCAATTTCTGGATCTAGCTTTATCCATTGCGTTTGAAGATGACAGTGGAGGTTGGGAGTGGGTAGTAAGAGGGAGGGAGAGAGGGGGAGGGGATTGTATGGGGGATGAGTTGGAAGGGTAAACCCGAGAGAAGTTATTTACTTAGGAAATGCGAGGCGAGGTCGTGGCTCGTATATTTGGCCACCGAGCAAAGGCCCCACACAAGACGAGAGTGAGAAACTGTCATTCGATGGGTTGGCGGTGGGTGGTGGGTGGTGGGTGGTTGGGGTGGAGTACTGATGTGTATGGGTGTCGTTTTTATTTGATGGAAGCCTTGGAATTGGTTGCGGTGCGAATGTTCCTTATATGGAGAAGTTTAGAGGGGATGGATAAACTCTAGGAGCATTTCATGGGGCATGAGATACGTGTGCTTGGAGATGTACACGTATCAAACGAACATCCTGTGTGTATCTCGTTTGGTTTACGTTTGGTTTGAGAGGTGGAGAATGGATGGTGGTACGAGTGGGTTCAGATACACTGGGAAATGGGAATTTGTGGGTAGTAAAGTCTTTCAGTCGACGGTGTGTACGTCTGGGGTGAATGATTCCAATTTTTTTTTTTTATGGCTAGATCAGGAATGCCGTTCGGTGGAGTGGATTTTTTGGGGGAAATATTGACTATCGTTGAGATTATAATTCGAAATTTGTGATTGAGATATTTGATAAGAACGAGAATTCAGAGAAAGATGTGGAGTAGTTTTGGTTTTTGAAAATGGAGAATATCGAAAAGGGGAAAATCTACATTGGATGAAGTGATGGATTAAAACGATTCGCACAATTACATTTTTTTGATAGAAATATTATCGAGATATTCGGAGGACTCTCGACGGGGGCGCTCTGAGTAAAATGGCCTTCAATGTCAAGAGGGAAAAATAGAGAAGAAACGAAAAATCCTCCAAATAAAAATAGAAATGAACTAGGGATCCCTTTATCCACGAGAGAAATCGTTCGACCGAATTGAGATTGACAAAGGAGGCGAAAAATTAAATGAACCAGTGCATACGCGTTAAATTGGAAAATAGAATAGAACTGAGATGTTTCCTTTAACCCCTTTTACCTGCGTTTCACAATCACTTGAATTCGTCTCTAACGATCCGTAATACGAATTGGGTTTCAGTATCCAATTGTTCCCTCATTGTTCCCCTTTACCGGACAAAATCTCGGAATAACTGAGATATTCTTTGCTGAGGAATGGCGCGGAAAATTTCTTGTAGCCTCTCTGCAATTTCTACCGATAAATCTGCGAGTAGAATTCTAGGGTGAGTCAGCAAAAGAATCCGGTGACTCTTTTCTACTCATACGGGAGAACGCGATTGAGACCTTTTCAGAGGATTCCGTGAATTCCCGACAGTCAATTATACGGCCTGCTAAACACAATTCGAACTCTGATGCTTCTCTCCAGTATATAAACTACACATATGTACTCGTACGCCTTTAGATGACAACAATGGGGACTTTATAAATTCTTATCTGGGGTATTAACTCGGGAGAATTGAAGAATCCACCAGTTCAATCGCGAAAATTATGAAATAAATACAAAATACTTTCCGGAATTAATTGAAACTTCAATCACCCCAGTAATCTCACACGGCATTTACACTGATCTAACCGATAATTACCCTCAATTTAATTAACATCCTGCACTCCACATTCCCCCAATTCCGTTTCCAATCCATATCAAACCCCCGCGATACCCCCAGAACAATAAAAATCCCAATCGCGACTTACCGCTATCAAAACTCGCGAATCAATCCAGAAGTGAAATAATAGACGATAAGAAATTGAGTAAAAACTTGTGGATAAAAATAACAGCAGCTCCTGGTAACGCTCCAGACCGATGTTATTCTCCTCCAGTTTAACGTATAACTTCTAAATTCCTTTTCCCCCGTTTTCACAATCTCACCGATAACTCACTTCTTTTCTCCCCCCCATCAACTCGAGTTTTGATGATTTCATGGTCTCCACCTCTGCCTCGTGTGTTCGATGGTCAGTGAAAAATGGAAGGAAAAAAAGATGAAAGAGTTTGCGATAGATGAAGAGATTGAAATATGTGAGGTCGATCCACCGATCCACCGATCCACCGATCCCCCGATCAGTTGACAGGAGAGGATTTTTTTTTCGTCATATCTTCATGTATAGTTCAATGGAAGAGAGGAGGAGGAGGGGGTATTTGAGCAAGATGACGGGATGAAGAAGTGACGTGGTGGAAAAGGGATCGAGTTATATTTTAGCCAAGTTCCCGGTTGGCCGTAAAAAACGGTAAGACTAAAAAAAAATGGTTTAGCCATCAATTTTTCAGTCGGGAATTTCTAGGGGATGGGATTCAACGGGGTAAACACAGGCCACTGCCAAAATGCACGATAACAATGGATGTGAGGTGGTGTGTGCATTGAGGGGGAGAGAAAATAGGGGGTGGTGTGGGTGGATCTCACGGTATGAAACGAGGCGAAGATGGAACACGTAGAATATTGGAAAACTCACAGATAATCCTGGGTGCCTCTCCATACTGCTTGGGATTATTAAAAGCAATAGATTCTCCATGGTTCATCGGTTTTTTTGTACTTCTACTTCAGTTTGAGTTTCCGGTCGGAGGGAGATTTGCCTGATGTGACGATCCGGTGTTGTTATTAAATTTTCAAGTCTGCATTTTGTGGGTCATACGATCGGGGAAGTGAAAATTTTTAAGTGAGCCACAGTGAATTTTATTTTTATTTCCTCTTTTCCTCTTTCCTCTGAGAATTAACATTTTTTAATAATTTTCTATAACATTAAAATGAAGATCTGCCGAAAATTAGAATCGATAGAAATGATAATTAGGATGATTTAAAAGGGATGAATTCATTTTTTTGGATATTTGTATGCAAAAATAAAAATGAGAGTCTAAAGCCGTGACACTATTATTCCTCGGTATAATTAAATCCGTCGGACTAAACCAATCTGAATCAATCCAAGTCGATAAAACTTTTCAAGTGCTCTGTCCCTCTTGTCACATTCTCGTTAATGCGGTTTCGTTGTTTACCGCAATTCCAGTGATAGCCAGTGGGTCAACAATGGAGTGAGTCAGACTGGAAATGTGTGTTGTATGAGCGGTGGTGTTAACAAGCGTGTGTAACGCTCGTCGACAGTAAAATCCTGAGCCAATAAAGTTAGCTTTCACCTGTATATGTACTGACGGAAACAACCCGCCTAGCACTAGCTGCAACAAAAGGGATCTCGTACGAGTTCCTCGTTTGTTCTCGTTTCGTATCATTGACTATTTCACCATTTCACCATTCTTCTGGCCTTTCTTCTCCACACGAGGTGAAAAAAAAAACTATTTGATTTCCCGCCTGTGGAGGACGAATTCCCAATTTCACCGTCAATTTTTCATCTTTTTTTCCCCATTTTTCCAACAATATCTCCAAATTGTTTACCATTAGTAGGAAAAGTCGAGCATTTCCTTCATTCGCGTTGTCTAGACACCCAATAATCTCCGAGACATGATACATCCTCTCGTCTCGAGTCTGATACGAGATTAATCCTTGATTAAAAGTTAGCCATGGTTATTGGAAAAATGAGTGGAGAGGTTGAATTAATCGGAACAAAGGGTTCGATGGAGATTGAGGAAAAGGGGAGAAACGCGTTGGAGGTAGTGCGACGAGGACTGGTGTCCCCTGGGCAGGAAAGGAGCCCCAGGTCCTTGGAGTCAATGGGATCGTCCATCTCACAGACGACTGTGTACCACTCGTCCACTGGGATTACCTATTTTTTTTTTCCCCTCTATTTTTTTCCCCCTTTTTTTTATCATTCTCATCACGTGTAACTCGACTCTGTCGTACCCCTCCCAGGGATCGACGTCTACCTCCGGTCATCCCCGGGCCTATCACCCTACCGATCGATACTCGATTAATCTCCACTCAAAATTGTCGGAGATTGGGAATCTCTCGCCATAATCAAAGCCCATGTCATACTGCGTGTTTGCCTTTTTTATGAGCTTTTAACTGACGGTTGATGAATCAAAGTCACTTCATCACGGGAATGAACATCTTTCCACCCAGTTTTTTTTTTCTTTTTCATACGCTCGTGAAAAAATATTACGCCAGGGAATATTCTATGCTCTCGCCAAATGAACATTTTTCACATCTTCCTCGTGTTTTTCACTCACCAGTGTAATTCCAACCCTTTGTGGATTTACCAGAGTTCATTTTCAATTAATACTTCGACGAATGTACATTCGTCGGGTTAAAAGGCGCTTTGTTCGAATCACCTGTGCTACTGACTCATTGTTCATAACAATAGGCATGTAATAATGATGAGTTGTTTTCGGCTGAATCGGATCTATTTGGTTGACGCCCAGTAATCTAGAATTGCTTTAAATAAAAAAAAAACAGAATAAAAAATAAAAGTGAATTTCTGAATCACCGAGTAAGTCAAAAAAATACCATTCATTTTTTCCGTGGGAGATTATTTTTGCAAGTATTAAATCATTAACAAATCCCTGGAAATAATGATTGAGGTGAAAAACTCCATTGATAAATTTTCTTCGTACCCCCATTTAATGGCTCACCCCAGGTACAAGTAAGCCAGCGGAATTTTGAGATTCTGGAGTCGTAGAGCTGACATACACAAGTGGTGCAAAATGTTCATGAATTA